AAAGTAAAGTAAAGTAAAGTAAAGTAAAGTAAAGTAAAGTAAAGTAAAGTAAAGTAAAGCATTTCATTCATATTACATCCACAAGCAAGCAAACGCCTCTGCAAAGCCCCTCTCTCTTTTTCCTTCATTTAATGTTTAATTACTTTTTTCTTCACTTCAAAAATACATCATGCATCACAGCTAGCCATCATCTTTAATTACACTACTGAGACACCTGACTTGTCAAGTAGTTGAAAGAGTTGAGAAGTTAATTTCTAGCATGTTAGTAAAGCACCTTTTTTCCTGTACATGGCGTGGGAGAAAGATGAGTGTTTTAACTTAAAAGTACGTTAGTTGGCTATTTCCCCTACACTTAAGTCTCGCGTGATGATATTTTTAGTTGTCCTTGAGTTCATTACAGATCAGGCTAACATCTATCTCTATTGAGTGTAGAAAAGCTCCATCGCTCAATATTGAGTATTTTTTTTCTTCGTCTTGCTCAGTTTAAAAGTGCTTAATGGTTTACAAAATACCGTTTTATATTAGCGTAGTCAAGAAAAAAATCGATGAACAAATTTATGAGATCTGCGGAAAATAAAACTGCTATAGTTTCAATTCTTCAATTGATCTTAACCTATGAATTGATGATTAAACTTTAATTGGAGGAAAATGCTGTCGGTCGTAAGAACTTTAGAATTCTACGTTTTTACTTTTATGAGTTTAAGCTTGCAAACCCATGCGTTGACTAACGCTTGATTTACAAAAGTGCTTTTCTTTTCCTTATTTATTTTTGTTGAGTTAAAAGCACATTAATCTACTTTGAACCCGAAAACGTGACAGCACCGCCGGGCTGTTAAAGCAAATAAACTTGAGCAAAAAAGCCAAAAAAATAAATAAAACAACAGATAATGAAAAATGAATAAGCAAAATGCGTAAAGGAAAGCATGAAAACAGGTTTTGTAAAAGACAGTAAAAAACAAAAAACAATAAAATGATAAAAACAACAAGAAATCGCCCTTCTTGTCATGCGTAGTAACGGTCATAAATCTACAAATCTACTTGTGCCATATCAGAACGACGTACATTTTAACGAATTCACAATGACTGTTTATCGGCAAGTTTTCTCATTTTCCAGAGTTTGCATCGGATTTGCATCGATTTGATGAACATCAAATTGCCAAAATTTACGACTGCAGATAGACCTCTTCAACTTGGGTGTACTGTATTCCTATTTCAGACCCCGTGTCTTCATCTTGAGAACAAGATTTTTTGTTTGAGTTGTATCTATATTCATGTGTCTTCTCGTGCGCAGCCATTAAACAAAGAAATAATACTCAAGAGAATGGCGCGTGGTCTGGTATGGGGGAAACATTAGGCCCACTAAGGTAAAGATCTGTCTATTGGTTCTAGTGACAGGTCTCAAACCATAAAACGTGCGTTTAAAAAAAAACTTGACAAGTGACACTCGTCATTGTGATTTTTACGATAGGAGAGCGCAAATGGAAAAAGATTTTAAAAATGACAAAAACTATGTAATTACCTTATCATATATATGTGCCAGCTATTTTTCACGCTCGACGGTTAAAGCTCGTATGATTTAAAGGGGTTTATGATGTTGAGATCTTGATTAATATCCTTCCTGCGACAATGGTGTTTATATGCAATACTTCCGCTGATAAAGTGATATCAATATAAACAAATGGACCTTATGTGGAACAGGTTACGGAAACAACTCAATATCTCAGGCACGCTCTCGTGAAATGCTTTAAAACATCTTCCGGTAATCTATTTTGGTTTGCGTGGTCAGCCGGCTAAATGCACTTGGGACGCGTACGAAAAAAGTCAACAAACACTTGACCACTTTCACGTCTTGAACCTTGAATAATCATTGTTACGTGTGGGTTTTCATCTCTTAAATTGTTAAAACTTAACATGGAAAAAGCAAAATAAATCATTTCAAATAATATTTCTAAGAGTTTTTAAAGTCCAGTTGAAATATTTTTCTTATTTGCGTTTTCAAAAGCTTTTTTTCAAGTGACAATTTTTGTTTTAGAAAAAAAAAAAAAAAAAAAAAAAAAAATAAAAAAAAAAAAAAAAAAAAAAAAAAAATTAATCGATGTCATATTCTTGTAAAATATTTCAATCAGATAAGTGTTGCTTATTCTCATTTCTGTTCTGGCAACTTCGAGATTTTCGAATTGTTGAACGCTACAGTACGCAAGAATAAAAAAATGTCAATTTACATGCGGCAGTAAGACGTTTAATCATATCGATAACGTTTAATTATATAGGTAATGATGGTCTTACCGAAAACGTCGATATCATCATATTAATTTGCCATGTAGTCATAGTTTGATCTCAAACATCTTATACCCAAATTAGACAACTCGATAAAGAAATTGTTAGAATCTCGTTGAATTTTTGATGTAATTGCATTTAAACCGTGAAACCAATTGTAAAATACAGTGGAAAAAGAAAGCAATTTAATTGCAAAATTAAAGGAATTACAATTATGTTTACTATGCATATCATAATGTCTATTTAACGGATTAAAGTCTCTCTATCTCTTTCTTTATAATTGATACGTCAAGAGTTATACATGTAGACCCTTACTTGAACCTTGGGCGTAATTGAGTTTTTTATTCCAAATCTCATAATACAAACAATATGATAATTTATGTTTGTTTGTTTGGGCTCTGGCTATACCCGTATTAATGTTTTTCTGGAGCGTTGTATGACTTAGGGATTATTACTTCGTACAGATTCATTCAAATGAGTATAAGACAAGCAAAAGAATATAAACAATGGACAAAAGATATTTCTAGCTAAACACTGTAAATTCGGCTATATCTTTTTTCTAGTCGCATTAAGACAGTCTAATTTCTTATGTTTATTTGATATTTCCCCCCGTTAGATATAAGTACGAGCTATACTTTTCAGTTTGCATGTTATATTCATGTGTCGAAATTTCATCCATCACCATGATTGAACTGCCCTAAAATCGAAAATCAGAGGTAAATACGACGTAACGTTAACGTTGTAAACGAATGTTAAAAATTTTCTATCTAGGCTCGGTTGATTAAAAATCTCTTTATTTCTTCACAGATTCTTGCAAAACCAAATTATTCCTCAGCTGGCTGTCTTTATCCGCTAGCTATGGAAAGTATTCATTTAACATTGTACCGCTCAGTCAATATATCCGTCAGTTGATCACGGCTGTTTCAATTCAAATAAAAAGCGACATTAGGTTCCAGGAGCACGATTGACCGAAATTACGCGGTCAGCTGCACCGTAACGAGGCTTTTAAAATGGCGCCGAGAAGGATCGTTACTTATGAAAGAAAGTGGTTGTTTGCGGCGTTTTTATTTATTTCATGGTTANAAAAAAAAAAAAAAAAAAAAAAAAAAAAAAAAGAATCACAGAAATAACAAAAACTGGAAAAAAGGGACATGTCTGACTTACAGATAAAGATCGACCTACTGACGATCGACCATTTCAGTCTGACGAGACCGACCGCGACCGACTGACTTACGATTAGAAGGTGTGATCGATCGCATTGTTGATCGACCGACCGACTAAGCGATCGTTCAATTGACTGAAAGATACTAAGGTCAAACGTCGAACTTCATATGAGCCGAACTTAATAACATCAAACCGCATCGACAGGTAGTAGAAGTCAATGACGCATTCAAGGAAACGTCCAATTGCTCGCTGATTTCCAGAGCATGCGTAGACCGGCATCTGGTTCTATAACTGACGCGAGTGAAAAGGTCTGCGCATGCTCTAAGTACGTATAAAATCACAATCTCGCACCCAGAGCCTGCGTTTCTTCTGGCCTGCGGTGAAGAACTAGGGCTAGGGTTTTTTTGAGACCAGGATTTCTTGGACTTCCGGTATAACAGCGCACGCGTTCAAAGACTTGCCAAAAATGAAAAATATCCCCCCCCCCCCCTTCCGATTTTTAATTCGCACTATGATTTTTACTTTGATTTTGAGCTCGATTTAATTCTTTTCTTTGCTTATTTTGATCGTTTATATCTCACTTTCCGAAAATTGCGCATGCGTTAAAGTATGGATTACGCCAGAGCCCTCGTTCTTCGCCGCAGACCAGAAGAAACGCAGGCTCTGGGTACGAGATTGATGAAATCATAGTCCAACATATCTTTGTTGTATTGCAAAAACATGCAAATCGGTGTTTCAAATTTGTATGACAAATGGACTTTACATAATGCAAAAGCTTTAGTTACAGTCAAAACGCCTCAAGCCCTCCCCCCTAGGTTCCATTAATCATTTTATTATTCGAAATTTTGAAATTTATTATTCTTTCCTAGAATACGAAGACTCAGGATTCGAAATAATAATGGATTGAAAACTAGAATTCTGATTGGATAACCCGTTTTGGACTTCTGACGAAATGTCATGAATGTACATTAACTATACTATAACACTGAGAATATGTTGAACAGCACGCATGCGCAAAAGCTTTTCTCTAGTGTTCCTTGAACCAGTCTCATACCTAGAGCTCCTCGGTATCGTACGAGACTGCCCTTGAACTCAGAGACGTCACATGAATATTTTGTGTCTTTTTTTGTCTATCTACGAAACAGCTGACTCTCTAATAAATGCTTCATATTCTGGTGGCTGTTTGATAATACTGTAAGTCTTATAGATCGAACTCAACTGTTTAGACTTTAGACTTGAAAGGATAGTGGCAAACGAAAATAATTAGGCAGCTTGTACGATGGCGTCATTGACCTCTACTACTAATTGTCTCACTATAAACGATCCAATTAGAACAAATTAAACATAAAATACAATTAGAAGACGGAAGAAGACGAACAAACTTTAACTGGAAAACTAATAGAAATACTTACATACGTTGGCAAAAAATAACTATGACCTGAACTGTAACTGTAACTGATTAAATTTACGAACGAAGGCTGACTTTAAGGAGAAATTAACATAACGAATACACAAGAGACTACGAAGGAATTACAACTAACGGTACAACGAGAAAAATAACAATAACCTACAAAATATGTACTTATTGACCGCTACAAAGAAAGAAAAAAAATTCATCAATTTACGCCATAATGCAAACGTCCTATATTATAAAAATCCTTTGGTTTTCTGACTCTGGCTTTTAATGTTTGTCTTTGTCTTTTAGTCTCTTTCTTTTTTCTTTTTTGCTTTCTTTCCCTCTTTCTCTCTCTCTCTCTTTCTCTCTGCGTGTGAATTTGCATAGCCTGACAACTTGTCTCACACTCCACAAAAAAGGTGCAAAACAAAGTAAACAAATAACAAAAACCTTTACCAGAAGTAGTTTGTCTGCAAATAAGCTGAAGATGTTCAAATTCCATGTGGTTTTCATTGCCAGGTAGCAGAGAAAACAAAATCCCTGTCAGGAGCTGTCGGTCGGACATCTTGTTTGTTTGAAAACTTTTGAAAACTGGAGTTGATGAGTTGATTACTCGATTGTGACGTAACTTGCCCGCGCTTTCGAATTACTGGGCGCTAGTGTCCAGTGCATCTCGACTTCATTTTTTCTTAATTTTATGCAAGAAATAGCATAAAATGTAATGATTTTTACAGAAAATAATAATTAATAATAGTTAATATTTTTTTCTTTATTATCTTAAAAAGACTTTTTCAAATTCAAATAGCGATAAAAGGCTTAAAAACAACTCGAAAGGAATTTCTGCGCTAATACGGGCTTCTAACCACAGGTAGCCCAAATATTACCAAATGAACTAACCCTTGCGTTGTCTACAGTATACATATATATGTTGATATGAATTTTTTGTTCTTCTCGTTTGTTTTTTGTCTTGCTTGTATTCTAGTGTAGTAGAAGTTCAGACAATAGATTTTCAGAATGCATATTTAGAGATGTCACGCCTGGTATCTCATGTCACGCATCACGCTTCTTCTTCCTCTTCCCCAGTCCTTCCTCCGTTAAGATGTCGTCGCGCACAGCATTGTGGTATTGTAATGGCGGGGCGCTAGCTAATGATCCACATATCATTATCTTATTTCCTCCATTTCCTAAATATATCACCTCAAAAACTCTACGTTATACAAAAAATTCTCGACATGACAAATCCTCAATGACTAATCTACGTGTCTTGGCTGACGATCTAGCGGAATCCAAGACGAATGTGAAGCTTAAAGTGAGAATTTCGTAGGAAGGAGATAATATCTGTCTGAATCTTACTCCGAGCTCAGAGAATATTTTGCCTTTCTAGTTATTTCTTCATTCATCTATGTAATGGTTAAAGCAAGCTACCGAACACTATATCTTGGACTTCAGTCATCAGAGAGCTCTTCTGCATAGAAATGATAATTTGACTGGAGTTTGACTGCAGTTCGAGAGGATTATATTTTGGCTAATCATGAGCTTTTATGCTTCACAGTTCAACGACAAGTCATCGAGGTACTGCAGTTCAAATCTCTATGGTTCTAACTTAAGTACGGTTTACGCTGATGGACCTCCTCCGTTGGACGATACTTTAGAAGAAGACGATGGAGAAATCGTCTTCCGAGATAAAAGTCCGAGAAAAGAATCTCCTGAGCCTAAACTTGTCAAGGACGAAAAAGGGACGGTGTCTGGCGAGTCAGATTTCAATCCATGGTCTAAAAATGATGCTACAAAGGACGAAGCTGTTGATGATTTTGGAGATTTCTCAGGTTTCGCGGATTTTTCATCGGCGTTTGGTGGAGGTGATTCAAACTCACAAAACGATTCTTCGTGGTTTAAAAATGGCGATAACGATCAATCATCTGTGACCAAATTCAATCATGATTTTGAAAACCACGAAGCAGAGATTTCAGCTTCATCTCGTAAAAACGTTAAGAAAGCTGAAGAAAGAACGAGCAAAAATGATGATTTTGGTTGCTTTTCTGGAGGAGATGATAGTGATTTTGACGACTTTTGTAGTTTTACAAGCAACAGTCAACATATCAATACAGGGAAAAGTGAAGAGAGCAGCTCAAAAGATTCTCAAACGAGAAAGGATTCTGAAAGCAAAAAGACTACAAACTCAGATGATTTAATCAAAAAAGTTAAAACCATACATGGTAGCAGTGATAAATTCCATTATTCATTAGAACAAAATGCAAAGACATCAAACTTTGATTCAGTTGATGACTTTGACGAATTTGGCTCCTCTGAAGGAGGTTCAACTTTAAATCAACGATCTGTGCCTCCTATAAATGATTCAAGCAATTCTCATGCACAAAATATAACCAGTGGTACTCATTCAGCCATGAAACCAACATGTTTTAGTGACGATGATGATGATTTTGGAGATTTTAGTTCATCTAGTTTTGACGACGATAGTGGAGGAACTGCCAAAACTCCAGAATTGATCATTAAGTCTGAAACAAACTTTTCTTCGCAATCCAAAGACAAAGAACTTCAAAATACTCATCTAAATGGATCAAGTATAGAAAGTGAACATAATCCCACAGATTCTAAAGACAACAATGAACCAGTTTCAATACCTCAACATAATGGATCTGAAACAGATCTAAAGAAAAATGAGGATATTAGTATGTCTGATAGAGATAAGGATTTTATAAATACAGATCAATCAAAGGAAAACATCACTCTGGATGATAAAGATGATGATGATGAGTTTGGGGACTTTTCAGCATCTATTTCTAGTGTGACTAAAACTGAAGAAACCAAAACAAAAGAAATGCCGTCTAATTCTATTGTTCAAGATGATGATGATGAAGATTTTGGGAAATTTGGGTCACCACCAAGTTTGTCAAATCTTCAAGGTGATGATGATGATTTTGGTGAATTTGGGGCTGTTGCAGCACCCAGTAAAGACAACAACAAAAATGATGATGATGATTTTGGTGAATTTGGGGCTGTTGCAGCACCCAGTAAAGACAATGACAAAAATGATGATGATGATTTTGGTGATTTTGGGGCAGCATCACCACCAGGTCTACCCAGTCTCCATGGTAACAGTGATAATGAGGATGAATTTGGAGATTTTGGTTCAGGAATAAATAAGCCTAGTTCACAAAGCAATGACTGTGATGGTGAGGAATTTGGAAATTTTGGAGTATTGCCAACATCCACATCAGCTGAAGAAAAACCAAAAACTGATAATGATGATGATGATGATGAATTTGGAGATTTTGGTGCCACTTTTCCATCCAAAGAGACTGGAGTCGCTAAATTGACAGCAACAGAAGAAAAAACAAAAAGTAATGATGTTGATGAATTGGGTGATTTTGATGCTGCTCCTGTAACAAGCAAGTCTAATCTCCATAGCAGTGCAGATGCTGCTGCTGCTGCTGCTGCTGCTGATGATGATGACTTTGGCGCTTTTGGTTCGGCTCCTGCAACAAACAAGCCAGATCTCCATGGCAATGATGATGCTGATGACTTTGGTGATTTTGGTTCCATTCCCACGACAAACAACCCTGATCTCCATGGCAATAATGATGATGATGACTTTGGTGATTTTGGTGTAGCCTCTCCGACGAGTCAACAAAACAAAAATGATGATTTTGGAAACTTTCCTGAAGTCAAGCAACCAAATTCCAAGGACAGCAAATCCAAATCAACCTCTGAACCTTCATCTCTTGAAAGTAGAGTGAATCCTCCTAATGATGAAGATGATGAATTTGGACAGTTTGATGCAGCTCCTAGTAAATCATCTGACAGCGACTTTGCAGGTTTTAAGTCTTCTGATAAAACTTCTAAAGGTTTTGCAGACAACTCATCCATGCCTCAGAAATCTATACTAAGTCCTTTCAGTGCAACAAATAATTCACAGTCATTTTCAAATAAAGATGTCCTACAAGAACAACCCTCTAAGGTATGGCTAAAACCTCTTGAAACAATTGTGAAATTTATTTTATAAGRTGACTGTTTTAAACCTTGCTTTATGAATGGCTGGGGTGCGTGCTTTATAAAAGACTTATTTTTTGTACTGCATGCTGGTTAACCAGTTGTTTAGATACATTTACTGAGGTTTTCAATATGCTGCGAACTCAGACATTCCAGTGGCTTCTTGCAAAATTGGTTTATTACTGCCGCCAGTCAAGGACATAGAAGGTACCAATTAATTTTTTGTTTGACGGTAGCAAAAAAAAAATTACGGCGTGCAGCTTGCAACTACCAAGTTTGCAGAATATTAAAAACTGCAGTAATTTAAGAATTGAGATTGTTCATAAATGACCCAATTTTTTCATAGAAAGTTCAATTTGAATGACAGACAACATTTATTTCTCAATTTTTTTGCTTTGACTCAGTAATTTTGTTGAATCAACCACACAATGCTGAAACAAGTTGTAAAATGCCTTATGTACATGTAACATTGCCTTAAAGCAGGGAGARATTGGCAGAACACTTGGGAAGTGTTGAAAAGCACTCTGTTACTGTATTACTTGTTGGCTACCCCAAACACCTCTTGTATCTTTGCATTCTTTATGCTACGCACAGCATGTACACACATTTTTTTATTTCAATCTTCAATATTTAACAATTATTCACCAAAGATGAAGTGAATATTGTGGTATATTTACCAAGATGCAAGTCTTCCAAGTATTTTTAACACAAGTGAATATGATAATTAATGGAGAAAATGTTTCAAATGTTATTTATCTCTGCAAGTGGTACAAATCAACAAACGAGTGTGCACATGTATGATATATTCACCTGTAGGTGAATATAGCAGCATAAGACGTAAATTGTGACCAATGAGGGCTCTGGATTTAGTATACATTCACCAAAAAATACTAAAACTACATTTATATATAAAATCTCTGTATTTCAGCTGTCTGGAAACACCAGCGTAATAAAGCCACAATGTAATACAAACCTTGACAGACTGGAAAATCCTATTAAAAAGTGCTTCACTATTAAAGATGTCACTATGCAAAGTAATGTCATAATACAAATGATAGAACATCAAGTACAGTCTGAGAGATCCAAGTAAGTTAAGGGAAACCATAACTAGTTTATTTTTTAATAACATTTAACCATTTACTTGATTGAACACCTCTGGTGCTTTTTTAAAAAAAACTTGGAATCCCTTGCCCAATGATATATAAGTATTTTTTTAAAACCTATTTACAAATGATATCAGAATAGAAACACCAAAAGCCTGCAATGCTATGCTTTTTAAAAAAAAACTTGGAATCCCTCGCCCAATGATATAAGTATTTTCTCTAAAACCTATTTACAAATAATATCAGAACAGAAACGCCAAAAGTGTGCAACACTATGCACCATTCAGCACTAGAATAGAAACACTACTATTTAGCACTAAATAGTACCATTTATACCACTCCCTTTCAGTGTCTACACTCCATAAGACACAACAATTATTATCAACTTAACTTTATTAAAAGTTATACAGCCATTCCAGTATGATACTAATAAGTATAAATATTGATTGATGTAGAGCCTGGCAGCAGTTATTGACATCTGAGAAGGATGGTAGCTTAAGGTTTGACTGGGTATTGTCTGAACATCAGGTGAAAATGTTGGAGGGTCTGTCAATGCTCCCTGTAAAAATCCAGGTGTGTTTTCTACAAAGATGAAAATAGTATTATTTATCATATAATAGACCTTTCCCAAATTCGCTTGGATGACCACGGAACAATAGTTTGAAGCCGAGACTGAACTTGATTCTTTTATTCATCAAGTCCAACCTCGATTTGAAACCATTGTTTTGTGGTCAGTCAAGCGAATTCGGGATAGGTCTATTATCGATAAAATACCTATATTTCTCCTTTTCAAAAAACTGATATTTTCACATGTGAAAATAACATGTTATTTTCGCATATAAAAATATTGTAACCATGTGTATTTAAGCTATTATTTAGTTAGTTATAATAATGAAAAGCTTATTAAGTTGATTTTATGGGTAATTATATAATAAACAGAATATTACATGGGCGCTTGGAGATACGAAATTTATCTTCGAGTGTGCCCATGTAATATCCTCTATATATTTAATGTTATAATGTACACTTCCATTGGTTACCACTGGTTTCATTGCTCCATAATTTTGCATTTCCTTTCTTTTTTCCCAGACAAGTGTCAGTTTTAACCCTAAAGGACAAGTGCCAACACCTTTATTTGCATCAAGCATGGTAGAGTTTAATAGTTTTAAGTGTTATATTTCATTGATATTAATGGGTAGTGTTTCTATTCTTCATAGGCACTTCTTAAATAGTAAAAGGGGAGGGCTTGCTATTGTCATTTGTTTCGTTAAATAGATATTAACAGTAGTGTCGCTACTCTCTGTAGGGGCTCCTTGAACCAGTCAAGGGGGTCATCACTCCATTTCATCATGTAGAGGAAATCAATCCTTCCCAGGATCCTTTTGGTGCTCCACCAGAAGTTGGTGTGCAAGACCTTGGTGTAAGTGCCCATTCCTTTTTCGATTGTATTTCTAATTTTCTTTTCAAAAAATTTATGCTTTTAGTCTGAAATGAAAGAGAAATAGATTTATGATATGAAAACATCGGAGATTCTTACCCAAATCAATTCCCTTTATATGCAATTTGTTTGTTTGTAACCATAATGAACCAGAAAGAAACCAGATCAGAACTAACAAGTATTTTGAATAATAATTTTAGTTTGGTAAAGGAAGTAAGAAAGAACATTCCACATTGCATACAGGTAAGGGATATTGAAAAAGAACGTTAAAGATTTTGGTGCTGCTTATGAATGATGAGGATTGTGATGTTGATGGTGCTGATGAAAGATGATGATCGTGGTGAATGGAGATAATGATGGTGTTGTTAATAAATAAAAGAGGATTGTAATGTTGATTATGTTGTTGTTGGTGGTGGTGGCAATGAATAATGATAATGATGGTAGTGAATTGAGATGATGATGATGATGATGCAGTAGATGAATGATGATGGTGCTGACTTCATGGTGGTGGGGTGGATAACGATGGTGGTGGTGGTGAATGATGATGTGGTGGTGATGATGAATAGAGATGATGATGATGATAATGAATGTTGAGGATTGTGATGTTGATGGTGGTGGGATGATGAACCATGATGGTGGTGATGCTATTATTGATGAATGATGACAATAGTGGTGTTAAGGAGAAACATATATCTTTGCCTTGACTTCCAGAATCTAAAGACAATGCCTCAGATACAATATCTGTTTCATCATCCCTTGACCTGGACTTTCTTGCTCCTTCAAGTACTAATGGTGATTCCACAAAGACAGGTAAGGAGACAATACAAAATATATTGTTGGATTCTATTTAAAAGATTGAAGAAGGTCTGAGAAGGATATGCTGTATCTCCAGGAGATATTGATACATTCTCCATGGAGGGGGATTGGAGTTTTCAAAGTGGTTGAAAGGGTCTGAGGAGGGTATATTGCGATTGGAGTTTCCAAGGGGTGGGGAGGGGGTTCTGGGGAGGGTCACAGGAGGGTATATTGTATAGTACTAGAAAATATCCATATCTCCCCCATGGAGGGAGATTGGAGTTTCCATGGGGAGGGTCTGAGGAGGGTATATTTTATAGTTTCAGAAAATATCCATACCTCACCCATGGAGGGGGATTGGAGTTTCCAAGGGGTGGGGAGGGTCTGAGGAGGGTATATCTTGTAGTTTCAGAAAATATCCATACCTCACCCATGGAGGGGGATTGGAGTTTCCATGGGGTGGGGAGGGTCTGAGGAGGGTATATCTTATAGTTTCAGAAAATATCCATACCTCACCCATGGAGGGGGATTGGAGTTTCCATGGGGTGGGGAGGGTCTGAGGAGGGTATATTTATACTTCTAGAAAATATTCATATTTCTACCTATGGAGGGATTTGAATTTTCAGTTGGTGCATAAGAATGTCTGAGGAGCATATATTGTGTAGTTCTATAAAATAACCATACATTCCTCATGGAGGGGGAGTGGCATTTTTAAGAAGTGAAGAGCCAGTTTGAGGAGGGTACATTATGTAGGTTTTTACTTTCTATCAAGAGCATCAAACTTCTCATATTGACTTGGCATTAACTCCATATCATCATATCACTTTCTTTGACTTTTTTGTCAACTGACAGAAAGCAGAGGACTATTTGAAGATGACCTTTTAGGTCTAGGAATGTTCAATGAGCCATCACCAAGTCCAAAAATCACCAATGGAAAGAATGTCTTCAAATTTAACAACATCACAATACCACTGGCTACAAATGAAGGAAATCTGAGTGAGCAGGCAAAAACTGTAGTTAAGGATTTTGAAGATCTTACTTTTATGTTGTCAAAAGTTTTAATGTTTCCTTTAAAATCAAAAGAATGAAATCAATATAGTTTTAAAATCAACAAAATTATATTCATATATGTACAGAGTGTACATATATATATATACTTTATACCGTTATGTGGCAAGTCACAATAGGCCATTATTTTGTAAGATAACATTGCATTGTTGTGCAACTGTGGCTACTTCTCAAATGCCTTGGAAAAAGTCATGAACTCGAATCCACTTAGAAACCCTTGAAAAACATATTTCTTGGAAAAATCCTTGATTACTCCTTGAAATTTAAGTTGTTGCAGAGAAAAATTAAAAACTTGTTTGGTCATGAGATGCCCAAGAAGTAACAATAATGTGGCAAAATATCACTGATTGAAATATTTGTAATACTTCTTCAAAATTAGATTTTTTTGCATTTAAAAGCTCCTTACATTTCCTCTGAAATTTTGTTTCACAAACCCTGCTGTATGTTTGTGAATTTTCTTTGTTATTTCGGTTATAGAGTTTGTGCAACCATGTGACAAAATCCCTTAAGATATAAATAACAATGGAACAGCCACCATCTTGGTTGATCTAACAAGAGAAGCTAATGAGGAATGCTTCGTTATCGTCAACCAAGATGGCGGCTATGATGTAACATGCACCTACTCTATTCTTTCATGGGAATGATAAAAGTAATATTGGTGCTGATTAATGAATTAATAATAGATTAATATAATGCTCAAGGATTCTGGAAGTGGTAGTATATATAAGGCTATAATGCAAAGTGCCTATCCAAACTTAGGTCAGGTGCTTTATTTTTGGTCTTTCTTGGTGTTTTATGAATGCATTGCATTACTAATACTGTTTGGGTTTTGTAGTAGACCCCTAACAGTTGAACTCAGCTGAAGTTTTCTCTAGCATTGAAAATGGCATTTATTTTTATCTGTATTTAGATAAGTTTATAATTTTCCTATATGACTCTGGCTTTAGCAAACCTTGAAATCTTTGGTTCTAAGCCACCCAAGGCAACTTTTTTTACAAACCTAAAACTCTGAATACAAGAGTATGATCATAAAATTATTTTAAGCTTTACTATCCTATGAATTATGAGAAAAAATCCTTGTAGTACCCTAAAAACTATATTTTTTAGTTCGTGGGCCAAAATTTGAATTGAGCTAGAAAACTGCTGCATGGTTCATTGTTATCAGAACCATGAAATTGGCCACTAATCTCGTCCTCCAAGAAGGATAATTCTTCCCAAGAGCAAAAGATTGTTGGCATGTACTACAGTACATGTACAGTTTAGCAGAAAACAAAAGAACGACTGAAATACGCAGAAAAATATTTTTAGCAACAGTCACATAATTGAGCATAAGAGAGTGGTATGAATAAAGCTGCTTCATTAATATATCATCAACAATAATAAATAGTATAATTAAACAATGGCATCATAAATATTCAATATATAATTATGCTGAATTTCGTATTCTCTACTTTCACATCTCCATAATGCCTTGCGTTTTGGGGGGTAACCAATCAAAAAACTGTCCCAAATTGAAAGGTTTCTTAATTGAATTTATACTATACCTGCTTTTATCTGTACGATACTGATTATCAGTTTATTCCAAGCTATTTTCCCGTGTACAGATCATGAAGAGTTTTGGTCTTACAGAAAATGTATTGACTTACGAAAAAATGTTTAAAATTTACCTTAAACGTCTTCAAGCTTCTATCTTTTTCTGTTTTTTACTTCTTCATTTTATCTTTGGATACCAAGCAAGGTATTTTTAACATTGTCTGATCAGCCTTCAGCAAAATAAGTGGGTTTTTACCCTCTGGTTACCCCCCAAAGACGCAAAGGATTATGGGGATGTGAAAGTCGAGAATGGCCTCACTGAAGACAAAATAGATTTTTAAAGTAACCTATGCTTGACTAAAAATAATAACTGCTCACTTAACGGACATGATGACTAGCCAGTCATGATTAGATGGATCAATATGTGACCACATGACAGTTCAAGAAAATGGTCAAGTACGTGTTGCCCAGATATTGGCCATTGACTCGCAACGAGAGTTACGCAACAACATTGATAGCAGCTGCAAGGGAGACTATCCATTTACTGGCTCAGTGTTATTCATAGAGTAATTTTACTTGGCCCGTGAAGTTGTATAGAGCGTTTTCACGTGATGTCAAAGTGGCCATGTTGGCTTAATGCCAAAACAAATACAAGTCCTATCCTCCAGGAATTAAACTCTATTTTATGCTAAAATTGTGCAAAAGTTTGTATTGTTTGGTACACCAATATGGCTAAATTGTCACGTAAGTGAAAACACTCTATCATTAGTGACTAAAAGTCCAAGTAAAGCAAAAGAAGACAATGTGTCTACTACAATGTATTACATTGACTATTCTTTCCCAGTGGAAGTAAAATCACTCTATCCCTGCTGAAGTAATCATATTTACTTTTGCAATGATTTTTAGCATTAAAAAACAGTTTGTTTATAGTCTAAAGGATCAATTACTCCAAAATATACCTATTTTCAACTTTGTAACATAGTAACGAAGTGTAGCTCCAGATAATATTTATAGAAAATTCCTCACCACAAACCAAAATGGCTAGTAGGATTTGCCACTATATTGGGTCATGGATAGGGCTTTTGAATTAGAGAAGAGTTGCACATGAAATCGAGTGTTTCATTCAATTTCCAAGCACACTGTAGTGAGGTGAAAGAATGAGGTGGTTTTTTAACCAACTTCAAGGTGTATGGATGGAAGATGAAACACTTTCAAGTGCTCGACATGGCTTCTTATACTCGTTATAATTCTTGGAGAAATTCAAAGCTTGTGATTGCCCAAATTTTATGCGTATGATCTTAAAGATCCCTAATGATCTCTATTCTAAAGATCACATTTTCAGACCTTCGCGCTAGTGATTTCCTTTGTTTTGTCCTCGTCAATTATTAATGAATTTGAAATTTAGAAGAATGTTTCCTGGTTCTACACTTAGTTTATCATAATGGGTTGGGTTGGTATTAACTTAGCTTAAATTAAATAAAAATGATATCAAAGAGTTATTAAAAATATATTAATTTTGAGTAAAAGTTTGTTCTCTGCGTGATCACAATTGTTCTTCCTGTAAATCTTTTCTTTCATTTCACTTCATTTCATTTTGTTTCGTTTCATTTTTAAAATCCTATTCTATTCCATTCTATTCCATTCCATTCTATTCTATTCTATTCTATTCTATTTCGTTTTGTTTTATTAACTTTGCCTTATGGGTAGGGAAACCCCACAGAGCAGAGCTCCACTAAAGAGTCCCAAAGTGGATTTTCTCTCGTTGCAAAGCTAAGATACTTCTAGAGATGTGTTTTCAATCCCACTGGAATGGAATAATCAGTGGATGACGAAAAGAATTGGTCGAAGAAACTTTAAAATTATAGCATTCTATATATATTTTGTTTTGGGATACCTGTGTGTTCAATAAAAGAGCTTGACCAATAAACCTCTAGTTTCACCAAATATAAATTAATCATAAGGACGTTTGCGTAGGAGGCTAATGTTTGCTATTCCCCATACCAGTTTGACATGGGCTTAATGTTTTCACACAATGACGTGGTCTAAAATGGGAAAACATTACACCGGCAAGGTGGGTGAATACTTGGGTTGGGATTCCTGTGTTAACAACACCCCCACCCCTCCCAACCCTCCTCCAAGCCGTTCTTCTCAACGTGTCTCCTCCTTCCATCATCAGGTGAGAGAAGGCAACCTCTCTAATTTTGTTCCTAGACTCTATTGAACGACAAAAATTTGGTACTCACAGTTCAATAAGTAGCCTCAATCATGGCTTTACGTCTTGGGATATCAAACTGCTGGCGCATCGCTCGTGGACAAGCTTTTAGGAGAGTTCCGAGGTTGTCTTTGATTCGTGTTGCTGGATGCTCTTCCGATACATACTCAGGTAAGAATATCCAGTTAACGCTAATGCCATCAATCCAGGACATTAGTTATGTTTATTAACAACTTTATGTAGGTTTTTTATCGCTATTTAATTAAAAATTTGAACTCCCGTACGAATTAGCAAATACAAGTCGCCGTACGGGTGACGTAGGAATAGCCACTACGATAAACATATAAAGCTTACTTCCCATCTTGAAACCTTTATTTCACCTTCCAAATACTTTGAACTATTTCTTCGTATGCTTAAATGAATGTTAAAACGTTTTATCTTATATTGTTAAAGTTTTAAGATGCATATCATTTAAGCTTAAATATTTTGGGGGGAATCTTAGACTTTCGACTAGCACAGGCAGCCCAATCCCTATAGTGTTCTTCTTGTAGTCTCGCCATCAAAGGTCGTTTTCTTAGACAGGGTTTGATAGCACATCTTGAATTTAAAGGTAATAATGAAATTTCTGATGAATCTTTATTTCTTTTTTAAAGATGATGATGAAATCCTTCATCTGCCTTTTAAAGACAAAAAGCTCTTTACCCCTGGTCCCCTGTGTACAAGTTTTGAAACCAAAAAGGCCATGATGCGCGATGTTGGTTCGAGAGATAAAGACTTCGTAAAAAGTGTTAATTACATCCGAAGCAAACTTCTAGAAATTGCTGGTGTCTCGCCGAATGAATACACCACGATACCGCTACAGGGAAGTGGAACCTACTCGGTTGAGTCGGTGATCACCACAGCAACACCAAAAACTGGAGGCAAGCTTTTGCTGATTGTTAATGGTGCATATGGAAAGCGCATGCAAAAGATTTGTGAAGTTGCACACATTGAAACCGTAAGAATTTTTTTTTGAAATATGCACATTGAATGGAAGGAGAGGGGGGTTACTTCCTATTTCCTCAATAAATCATTCCTTACCTTCCGCCTCCCCCGAAATAAATAAACATTACACGCCCAGACTGGAACTGTTTAAAAACTTCAGGGTGTTTTTGATGTTTCATTGAAATTCCATGAAACTTGGCAACTTTACAGAGTTAGTCGTATCACAAAATTTGTTCTTTTCATTTTTCTGGATTTTGCCATTTTTGGTGGGAAAATGATATCATTTTTATGGTGTGAACAAATTCAAATCCAAAAAATAAAACAACCCTGTTGTTTTTCAACACTTCCAGGGTTGCCGTTTTACAAATAAATTGAGAAGGATGATCACAGCCACTCTAGCTAGGACCCCTCCCTGGTGCCACTTTCAGGACATCAAGTTTATGAACCATAAACTAAGGAAAGTCCACTACCCAACACTTATGTTGCAGCCCCTATCTATTTTAAGAGGCAAAACCAACTTGTTTCCTACTATAGACCAAGTTATAGTACTACTGTCAATATTGACCAAGATCTCTGTCATAATTTTTCACTTCTTAGATTGCTTTGGAAGGAGAAGAAAACAGCAAGGCAGATTTGAAAGCTGTTGAAAAAACCCTCCAAGAAAACCCAGACCTTACTGGAGTATGCATTGTTCACTGTGAGACTTCAACTGGAGTCATTCATCCAGTGGAATCTGTTGGAAAACTAATTCAAAAGCATGCGCCCAATGCTTTTTTCTTTGTGGATGCCATGAGTAGCTTTGGTGCAATTCCATTAAACTTGGAATCATCTAACATAACCTATCTAGTGAGTTCTGCCAATAAGTGTATTGAGGGTGTCCCTGGATTTTCATATGTGATTGCAAACATCAGTCATCTCTTAAAGTGCAAGGGTCAGTCCAGAACCTTGTCACTAGATATTGTGGATCAGTATGAGAACCTGGAGAAGACTGGCCAGTTCCGGTTCACCCCAGCAACACATACGATGCTGGCATTCAGGAAGGCTTTACAGCAGCTTGAAGAGGAAGGAGGAGTTGTTGGGAGAGCTGAGAGGTAATTTTTGTTCTCTTGAATTCTCTATGCTTAATTTCATTCATTAATTCTTGTTGCTTAATTGTTGCAAAGAAGAATGGTTTGAATGAATTCGAATAAATATCCCAAAAATGGTGTGTTTCTTCACAATTTAGCAAGAAAAGTGAGGGAATAGGTTGTTGGAACAGCTCCAGCCTCTACTGTCATAGCATGTCGTATGAGCATGTTTTTCAAGAATCCTACTCAATAAACATAAATTAATTCATAATAATGTGCAATGACAATGAATGCTGACCAAAAAGACCTTTTAATAATTATAATTTCTATGCATTTTCTCTTATTTCTTTTTTCTTTAACGGAGCACAAAATAGCAGCCAGTAAATTATGACTGGCCAAATTAGTTTGAGCTTTGTCTCTGGCATGTCTTGGCTTGGTCTTGCCATTATTTTAGGCCCTATTTTCTTGCTTGCTTGCTTGCTTGCTTGCTTGCTTGCTTGCTTGCTTGCTTGCTTGCTTGCTTGCTTGCTTGCTTCCTTTCCTTCATTCATTTCTTTGCCATTCTTAAATATCTGTTTCCTCTTTTCTTCATCTTATAGATTTTCTTTCAGTATTATTTTATCAATTTTCCTTTCATTTCCCACAGATACATGGAAAACAGACACATTCTCCAAGATGGAATGAAGAAACTTGGTTTCAAAGAATTCCTTGATGACACCCATGAAGGCTACATCATCACATCCTTCTACTTCCCCAAGCATCCTAACTTTGACTTCATGGATTTCTACAAGCGCCTTAGTGACAAGGACCAAGTCATTTATCCTGGAAAAGTCTCAAAAGCTGAATGCTTCAGAATTGGCAACATTGGCTATCTTTTCCCTAAAGACATGGAGCACTTACTGGAATGTATTGGTAAAGTTTTGGAAGACATGAACATACCTACCCCCTTAGAATCCTAAACATTTAGTCTTGGATTTCAATCAAAATATAATACAACAGAGCCTACTCAAAAGCCAAATGAATAGCAGTAATTTCTAAAACCAAATGTCGAAATTGTAGAAATATGAAATAGAAGACTAGAAATGTGCATCTTCATATACAAGGGAGTGTTAGTAATTCTAGGGGTAAAGGGGCTATGGGAATTTTACATTCTAGAATACTATTTTTGCTTTGGTGCTACCCCCCACTCAAACATAACATATTTTCGGTGCCCCCTAGCCCGCAGACTCAATTTCGTTTATGCTCAGAGTCTGCAAAGCACACCAGTGCCCCCCCCCCCCCCCCATAAATTACATAAGCTCCCTAACGTCTCCATTGAACTTTGATTTCATTCAGTACATAGAAAAATGATCATTATAAAAATAGGGAAAACAATGAAATTGTGATTCATATATGGGACAGAAACCTAAACTTTATAATGGATATAAAGCTTGCTTTTGTATCTAGCTGATAGTAAAGGATATTATGTAGTTAGGTAGGGAATATTTTTGTAAGATGATGAAAAGTAAAAAGAAAGAATCTTGGAGAATTCTCTGATATTTGTTTTTAAAAAAAATCCCTTCTTTGCCTGGTCCAAGAAGGAAATGGGAAGGATTTGTAAAGGAATGAATGGATGAGACTGACGTGAAGATTGCCTACAATTGCTCTATTGAGTGGGCTTCCTGTGTATTCACCTGACAGTTCTTCAAGAGACGCACACGGGGTAGAGTGGAGAAGTCTAAGATGATTTTGCTTCTTCTTGTCCTTAGTTTTGCTATTTTCGTTGGAGGATTAGCCTTTCAAGATGATTCAGGTTCCAAACATTGTCTAAAGGTAAAAAAAACCTCAAAAATTATCTGTAGTCGAACCACTATTTTGTCAGTGCTCTGAGAAAATATGACGTTTTTGAATTAGGAAGCACTGCTTTTCAACCACAGAAAACTCGAAATTTATTGTTTTCCAAGGAAACTGTAAGTTTTCTTGTGTCTTGGACGCTGCTGAGGACTCGAAATAGCTAATCACATATACTTATTCGATAGTTCATCCACCGTATTAAACGCCTCCCTAGACATTCCGTCTTTGTCTTTTTCCGTCGCTCTTAGTTCTAGGTTCTTTTAGAACTTGTAAGAGTCTTTAAAACCGCTTTACCCGTGATAATATTTTGCTTTTCAAGCACCAGGTCCTAATCCACGACATCAAAGAAAAATATTTTATGGATAGAGGAGAAACTATTGAGGTTTGTGCTGATAAAAACAACTGTAAAGACATCAGAGTTTCAAAATAGAAGCCCATGCATCTTGTTATATTTATTCTTCAGATTTGGGCAAAAATCGTTCATGATCTATGGAAGGACAACAGATTGATCGTAAGTGGGTTCGTACTTACAGATAATATAGTGTAATAATTGTCGAAGTGTCTTTTGAAGTACACCATTTATTGAAGTGTGTTGAGTACACATGTTTTAAGGCTTTTTATCATAACTTGGGTGCAGTGTTTTCCCATTTCAGACCATGTGTNTTGCTTGCTTGCTTCCTTCCTTCCTTCCTTCCTTCCTTCCTTCCTTCCTTTCCTTCATTCATTTCTTTGCCATTCTTAAATATCTGTTTCCTCTTTTCTTCATCTTATAGATTTTCTTTCAGTATTATTTTATCAATTTTCCTTTCATTTCCCACAGATACATGGAAAACAGACACATTCTCCAAGATGGAATGAAGAAACTTGGTTTCAAAGAATTCCTTGATGACACCCATGAAGGCTACATCATCACATCCTTCTACTTCCCCAAGCATCCTAACTTTGACTTCATGGATTTCTACAAGCGCCTTAGTGACAAGGACCAAGTCATTTATCCTGGAAAAGTCTCAAAAGCTGAATGCTTCAGAATTGGCAACATTGGCTATCTTTTCCCTAAAGACATGGAGCACTTACTGGAATGTATTGGTAAAGTTTTGGAAGACATGAACATACCTACCCCCTTAGAATCCTAAACATTTAGTCTTGGATTTCAATCAAAATATAATACAACAGAGCCTACTCAAAAGCCAAATGAATAGCAGTAATTTCTAAAACCAAATGTCGAAATTGTAGAAATATGAAATAGAAGACTAGAAATGTGCATCTTCATATACAAGGGAGTGTTAGTAATTCTAGGGGTAAAGGGGCTATGGGAATTTTACATTCTAGAATACTATTTTTGCTTTGGTGCTACCCCCCACTCAAACATAACATATTTTCGGTGCCCCCTAGCCCGCAGACTCAATTTCGTTTATGCTCAGAGTCTGCAAAGCACACCAGTGCCCCCCCCCCCCCCCCATAAATTACATAAGCTCCCTAACGTCTCCATTGAACTTTGATTTCATTCAGTACATAGAAAAATGATCATTATAAAAATAGGGAAAACAATGAAATTGTGATTCATATATGGGACAGAAACCTAAACTTTATAATGGATATAAAGCTTGCTTTTGTATCTAGCTGATAGTAAAGGATATTATGTAGTTAGGTAGGGAATATTTTTGTAAGATGATGAAAAGTAAAAAGAAAGAATCTTGGAGAATTCTCTGATATTTGTTTTTAAAAAAAATCCCTTCTTTGCCTGGTCCAAGAAGGAAATGGGAAGGATTTGTAAAGGAATGAATGGATGAGACTGACGTGAAGATTGCCTACAATTGCTCTATTGAGTGGGCTTCCTGTGTATTCACCTGACAGTTCTTCAAGAGACGCACACGGGGTAGAGTGGAGAAGTCTAAGATGATTTTGCTTCTTCTTGTCCTTAGTTTTGCTATTTTCGTTGGAGGATTAGCCTTTCAAGATGATTCAGGTTCCAAACATTGTCTAAAGGTAAAAAAAACCTCAAAAATTATCTGTAGTCGAACCACTATTTTGTCAGTGCTCTGAGAAAATATGACGTTTTTGAATTAGGAAGCACTGCTTTTCAACCACAGAAAACTCGAAATTTATTGTTTTCCAAGGAAACTGTAAGTTTTCTTGTGTCTTGGACGCTGCTGAGGACTCGAAATAGCTAATCACATATACTTATTCGATAGTTCATCCACCGTATTAAACGCCTCCCTAGACATTCCGTCTTTGTCTTTTTCCGTCGCTCTTAGTTCTAGGTTCTTTTAGAACTTGTAAGAGTCTTTAAAACCGCTTTACCCGTGATAATATTTTGCTTTTCAAGCACCAGGTCCTAATCCACGACATCAAAGAAAAATATTTTATGGATAGAGGAGAAACTATTGAGGTTTGTGCTGATAAAAACAACTGTAAAGACATCAGAGTTTCAAAATAGAAGCCCATGCATCTTGTTATATTTATTCTTCAGATTTGGGCAAAAATCGTTCATGATCTATGGAAGGACAACAGATTGATCGTAAGTGGGTTCGTACTTACAGATAATATAGTGTAATAATTGTCGAAGTGTCTTTTGAAGTACACCATTTATTGAAGTGTGTTGAGTACACATGTTTTAAGGCTTTTTATCATAACTTGGGTGCAGTGTTTTCCCATTTCAGACCATGTGTSATTCTCTTGAGAATAAGAATATCTTTGAGTTGCATTCATATTCGTGTGAATTCTCATGCACAAAAAAGTGATACCTAAGGGAATTAATGAATACATTGTTTGAAACGATAGATGAATTTACTTATCGTAGTTTCCTTCTTCTAGGCTGGTGTAAGCGATCCTTCTTCTCTCTCATTCAACCTGTCTTGTGTTCAACAAGCAACAGAGTTCAAAGGAGTAGTTACCAGAAACATGGTATGAAAATATCGTCATAACTTTCCAGCCTACGCCTCTACCCTATATATTTTATTATTTAGCTCTTTCTCCCGTCACAAACAAAGGGAAATTATTTAAGAAAAACCACGACACGCCATCAATATCAAGAAATTTCACCAATTTTATGCTGCCTCTTTCTTCCCCAAAATTATTGGGTTTTTTTCTCCTTCCTTCGTGTGTTGTTTTAGCCATTTTTCCCTTTTTCCGCTGATCCGATTCTTTCCTCTCCACTCTGGACGGAGTATTGACTGATTTATTATTCTATTGTGTAATTTCTAGACAGCAGTTATATATGAAAGTGATCCAAAGCCTACTTACATATCAAATAGGTATGCGCATCTGTTGTTGGTTTGATATTAGACCTGGGAGCTTTATGCTATCTACTTTAGAGGAATATAGTAGAGTGCATACCATATGCCCTTAAAAAACTCGTAAGAAATTGCACAAATTTGCACTATTAGTAAGTTCAGTAGACCTCAGTGAACCGTAAACCTACATAACTTTGTACTAATTTGTTAGTTAACTTTTTCATTTACAAGTATAGATATGTGTTAATTTTAAAATGAACGTAATATATAATATGATGTTGATAAGGGCGGGGATTTGATGACGGTTATGATTAAGAATGATGATGATTCTTGACGATGACTATTCATGATGATGGTAATGACGGATGATGATACATTATGCTTGAAAGACGGTAATAATGAAAAATAATTAACAGGACATCTAAAAATAATATTTTGAAACATAGAACAAAGAACTCGTCTGGAGAATTTGAATTTTACATCAAGGCATTTTCTCAGGATGATTGTAACACTGCTAAAGTGGTAAGAAAATTCATTAAAAGTAATTATGCACAAAGTACTTTTATTCTTTCGAGAATAAAAGAAGAATTTTGATATTTTAAAAAAAATGTTATTTGTGCAATAGTCTACCAAAATCATTGTTGGCTGCCCTACGACCAGAAGACTTCAAATTCATGGGTACGTTTTTCAAACAGATAAATCCTTCCAGTTATATACAATGCCTCTTCCATATGGAGGGGTATAATGGAATTTCAAGTAGGGTAAGTTGTGTAGTTTCAGAAAATATCCATACCACCCTTATGGAAGAGTAATGGAATTTACAAGGGGTGGGGAGGGTCAAACGATGTCATAAAGCTCCAAAAAATATCTTATCCAGAGAGAATTTGGCAGTTTCCAAAGGATAGAAAGATTTGGCATTGAGTAAAACATTCTCACCTCTTTTGAAGAGGGGTGGTAAGGAATTTCTAGTTGTAATGGGAAATCTCATTCATGCAATCCCACCCTTTGAAAAGCAAAAAATCCCACAGAAAAGTTTAGTATTGATGGACTTTGAAAAGAATGCTAAATTCCAATATTTTCATTCAATATTTCATTTCAGCCGGACATTTGAAGGATGTGATGAATATAAGGTCTACAACTACACAATTCAAAGGTGCTAGAAACTTCAAAGGCCTTTTTTTAAGTAACTTTTATCTTCTCATGTTTGTTTTTTTTGCGCATAAATTCATTTTTTTCTTCGTTTTTTTTTAGGGAACAGTTCAATGGAAATACTTCAAAGGTGGGTAAAATCAGTTGGTATAATGATTACATACAATTATTACTAAAGAAAGAATAATGTACACCGACTTGTCTTAAATGTTTTTCAAACATCTCTTTGATCTCTAGGTAGTTCATTATGATTTTAAAAACCTCGGATGTCCCATTACATCCATTATAAACAGCCAGTTCAAACCAACAGTGCATAGGTAAGTACTATGAAGTCTCCATACAAATATTATTATATAACAAATATTATCTTATTAATTTTTCCACGAGTCTAAGATTATCGCATCCACCCAAAACTTCATACCCAGAGCCCACGTTCCTCTTGGTCAGTACTGAGAAAGGAGACTGACCAAGAAGAACGTGTGCTATGGTTACGAGATTGGCATCCATCAATCAAAGTATTGCTACTTCAGTAAAATTGGATGGGGGATGTGAAAATTTTTCGATTAGGACAATATTACAATTTTTTTTAGATAATTTTTTTTAAAAGTTTCTTCAAAAAGTGCAGATTTTTAACATTTTGATTTTTAAATTTCCTTTGTGGATTCTTTGATTTTGGTCTCTTTATTTCTGTGGATTTGCGATTTACAGCAGCCTTACCCCTCCCCAAAATTAAAGAAGCCACAAAGAGATAATGGGGTTTCCTTAACATGAACAAAACCTTTTTTTGTTGAGATATGACAATGATAAGTTTGTAACTGAAGTCACTGGTGACTTCCTATTGTGGGAGAAGCATGGCCGAAACTCATATCACTATAGTAGGACCATGAGACAGGTTTGTTTGATTCCATGTAGTAGCAGTATAGAGCAGTTATAGGACAGTACGGTTGAGACATGGAAAGGCCACAATTACACCAGACCAATTTGAATAACTATTGCTCAGGGCTGAGTAGTCTCTCTTACATGTGAAAATGCATTTGTTTGCATTTTGAATGAGAGGGAAGCTAGTCAGTCTAGAACAATAGTTATTCAAATTGGTTGCCATATTTCTATTTGGTGTATTCCATTTTTTTTGTGAGTAACAAGCCTGAAAACATGCTTAATACAATGTTCAATACATGTCATTTCTTTAATAAGGCTGGTTGTGTCAGAGCTCCTCAGGAATGGAGTGAAATGATTGATGGCTTAAAAGCCATTGAAGTTGATCGAGAATGGAAACAACAGGTAGTAGTGTGCATGACTGGGTGAATTAATGGACTGCAGGATGGGTAGGGAAGTAAGAAGTCAAGGATGGACGTGTGGATGGATGGATGGGTGAGTGGGTGGATGGATGGATGGATGGATGGATGGATGGATGGATGGATGGATTGGTAGATGGATGGATGGATGGATGGTTTGGTGGATGGATGAGTGGATGAATGGGAGAGTGAATAGTTGGATGAATGCTTGGATGGATGGGAGAATGAATGGTAGGATGGATGGTTTAGTGGGTTAAAAATAGAAATAAATAAATAGTTAGAAATAAATAATCTTATAATTGAATAAATGAATACAATAAAGGTGGATATTTCATTTCTCATTTTTATAATAAGGATAGAAACCTTTATTTTGCTAGAATTCAGAGGACAAATACATCTGCTACCAATAATAGCCCTGGAAATATACTAAATAAAATATACAAATATACTAGGTCCACCACAGTTGTTTTAATCTCAATGGAAGCAACTTTAAGGATGACTCTAACATGGACATGCCATATGAAATAACGAACAGTACGGGAGGATCTGCAGTGATATGGAACGATGGAGGATTATATGTATTTAAACTGAGAATTATTGACCCTCACACAAGGTTGGTATATACTGCCTAGACTTAGAACATACTAGTTATTGCAAGCAATTAATCCGTGAAACACTAATTACTAAATTGTACAAAATAGTGCTAATTAAACAATAGAAAACAATGGAATTTGCATGAAATTGTGCTATTTAGTATTACTAAAGTTTCACGGTTATATTGTTTGCATTCTACTACAAGGATGCAAGTCTAGTTATCTGGGCTATCGATATCAATAGGCCATATTTGAGTTCCAAATTACCACTGCGTTCCTCAATATTGAACTCATTTACTTGGGGCTGGCCTCGTATCAGTGTCTAAATATTCACAAATACCAATGATAAAGTAAAGATTGCACTACTACAAACATTTTGAAATTCCACAGACTTTGACTGGAATGTGAATATTCTACCCAAAATCAAGGCTACCCTGAGCAGCTGAGAACTTGGAACTGGACCTTTAGTTGTACGAAGGGTGGACAGCGCTATCCAATGGATAAATCCTTATCCAGCGGATAAATTAATGCTGTTATCCAATAAATTTATCATTGGATATAATTCATCCATCGTATAGTGTTAATTCTTTCCTTCAAATTGATTCGGCTTCTGCCTCAGCCTACCCCCCTTAGTATCCTCTTGTCTGTTGTCATTCCCTGTAGTAGTGCTGTCCTTATTACTTACTAAGTTACTGAACTGACTGCTGTTTTGTGCTACATTATAGCTTCTGTGACCTAACTGCTGAGTTCGCTGTCAATGTTGGCTTCACTGACACAACTCCAGAACATGTCCCAACATTTGTGGTGCTGGGAGCATCATGCCTTGGTATTTTACTGGGAACAGTTGTTGCATATCTTATAGATGCATATTGTTTATGCTAGGTAATGCAGTCAGAACTGACAAAAATATTGCATAGGGGAACACAATTAGTATCAATAACAATAATTGTGTAGCTCCTTTAAGCTTCAGAAGATATCCCTGCCATTGTTATAAAAGATTATGAAACTTTGGTCTCCTTTCCCAAAAGCACTAGTTACATCCTCACTCACATCCTCCCTTCCCTACCAGGGAAATTCAAATCACCCTCCATGGAGAAGGTATGATTATCTGCAAATACACAATAAACTGCCCTCAGACTCTCCCCTTGTAAATGGCCTTGGCAATTCCAATCTCCCTCCATGGGGGAGGTTTGGATATTATCCTGAAATACACATTATGCCAAGGGATTAAAATGACAGCTGTACATTATACAATGTTGGGCCAGAACTGGGACTTGTCTGGTCAAATCTTTGTTTTGCAGGTCATTTTGACCAGTAACGTTTAGTCACATATAAGGTATGACTAAAAGTAATTTGGCCTGTGATGATCATGACTGGCAACTGATTGGCCATTATTTTAAGGCCTGATACCCTGGCACTCCCCACCCCTTGAAAATCCCAATCCCCCTTTGATATTAAGTGTGGCTACACAATTAATGCTCTCCTCAAACCCTCCTGTACTATTTGTAGCTTGATGTTTTGTTTCATGGCTGCAGTTATTTTTCTGGAGGTAAAAATGAAGTGTTGCTTTTGTACTTGGAGTGATTTCCTCTAACAATTTTGTCATCTGATTGGTCGGATTCCATTCTCTGAATTCCTAGTTTGGATAACATATTTTTAGGTTTTAGTTGCAAATACAACATTGACATCTTAATACTTGGTCATGGCAATCTTTTGAAATAAGTTTGATAACCCTTCCAGAAGAAGGTAAAATAGACCCCTTCACAGTTCCCTGCGCCATCCTGAAAGGTAGCCGGGCCTTTACATCGAAGCGAGACAAACTGTGAGCTTGCAATGATAGGGACCTGTGAATAATTGTCAAAGGTGTTAAAAAAGGTATCTTATCATTGCAAGCTCACCGTTCATCTCGCTTTGATGCAAAGGCCCGGCTACCTTTCAAGATGGTGCAGTGAACCGTGAAGGGGACTATTGAGGATATATATAGTACTTACAGACATGCCAATGGTGAGAATTTCTGTAGATTCATAGGCTTCTGGTCCACCTTTGGCGTAACATTTCTTGATTTCTTCACTGGATAAAGAACACCTAAAAATGAATAAAACTACTTAGCCACATGTGCAATTAATTACCCATTTCAGATCACATGACATTCCCTTGAGAATTGTTCTTTTATGAAGAACATGTGAAAATAATTTTACATTATTATGAAAGAATCAACTCCCAAGAGCGGCATCACATGGTCTAAAATGTGCACAACRAACAAGGAATCTAAAAAAGTCAATTGAAATAGATAGTAAGGAGCTTCTGAATTATTTTGTTAGAGATATAGAGATATGGAAAAATGTCCAGTCCAACCACAAGCTGCATAGTACTCTTTGTTTTTGTGTTTTTTTAAAGTTTAGTATTGTCTGCTGGATGGGTTTAATGCTGTGTTGGTCAGAGTTTTTTTAATGTCAAGGTCACTTTCCACCCTCGACACAGGTAGCCCAGAATGTGAGATGATGTAATGTAGAAATAGTTGATATTTTGTCACCTTATAAGAAAGCATGCCTCTGGTCTTCCACTAGATTCTTGGTTCCTTTGGATTCCAATCAGAACAGGCCAACTTAATGATCCGATGGGTACATTGACCTACATTCATATGAATATATTTTTTAAAACTTCTTTGCAGGTTAATAAGTTATTTATCAAATAAATTTTGAATTTTCTGACTATTAATGTTATTATTTGGCATTCAGATGTTGTTGATGGCCTATACCCCGCGAGGAGTATACAGGCTTAGGAGGAGGAGAAACCTTATTATTGGGTGAACATGAAAAGTCTCTAGTATGGGGAGAGGGTGATGGAGAAGAGAGGTTCGAGAAAATTCAATCCTGAAGCTAGTTTAATTTCTGGAAATTAAGAGGATGTTTTTCAAAACAGTAATAAACCTGTTTTTACCTCATCTCTAACCTCTTTGACTATTGAGTAGAACATTTCATGGACAACATCTTTTGGATCCATGTCTTCTAGCTTTAACTTTCCTTCATTATTGCCTTTAACCTCCTGTGAAATAAATGGTAAAATGTCAATCCTTAGTATAACAATAGGACTAAAACTCTCTTTTCTTCTCCCCTGGGACTGATTGGGAGATAGTAAGAAATAAAATGCCAGTAGTTCAGCAGACAGCTAAAAGGGCCGGGCCATTACTTATGTGTATTACTTACTTTTTTTCTATAAGCTGTGTGTGGGACCTAAAATAACCATGCTCGCCTGCAGCAAATAATCATCATAAGACCTACTTCTGTTTGGGAACCCTGTGCTACTTTCCTGCCAAACAAGTACCTTAATCAATGCTACAACCCCCCCCCCCCCTTGAAAAAATCCGCCCTTGGTTCCATTCAGTAATCAAGAATAATAGTTCCAAGTCAAGGATGCAGTTTCCGTTCATAGCAAAACATACTTTTTATCATGAGCGGCAACTCCATCCTCGGCTTGGAAGTATTATTCATGGTCACTGAGCGGAACTGTAAAATGGAGTATTGTCCAAATAGAGTCAACCCTTGATCATGAGGAGCCACCAAAGGGACCTTTCATTTTTTATCATTGTTATACTAGCTTCAGTGACTGAACAATCCATATCAATCAATATAATAGTATATATCAATGGATAACAATTGATAACAGGCCAGTTTTGTGACAATCGATTGGTCATCGATTGACCAATAACAATCGATATCAATTAACTAATTATATTGATTGGATTATAGATCATCGATTTCATTGATTCTCCACGCTGGGTCAGACTCTTACCCAGTCGTCATTTGTTTCAGGCTTTTTTGCACGCGGTGGCTTTTGGGAATGCACTGGAACTCACTAAATCCTTCCCATCAACCACAGCGTGAGATCAATAAGACAAGAAAAGCGACTGGGTAAGAGTCTGACGCTGGGTATATACCCCTCCCTTGCACCCCAAAATCTACTTACGCTTGGTTCTGGGTGTCCACCTGGGATATGGAACATTCCAGGTGCCTCATAAACCTGCTGGCTTCTCCTCAAAAGAATAACTTTATCGTCGCTTGATATGACAAGTCCATCGACCCCAACCGGATCAGCAAAGCAAGAATGAGGGTCACCATATTTGTCCAAACTGTGTTGTCGTATGCGTTCTCTCATAATATCATTCCGCATATTTGTGCAAATAAAATCTCGATAGCAGGTCATTCCTACGTTCAATATAAGCCTGTTTTTAGTGAGTTCCACGCTTTGGAGCCTAAACTTTGATGCATTGTACAATAAAGGTAAATCCTTAACTCTTTTCTCCCAAAGTTTTTCAATTTGACTTTCCAACTCGTCCTCCAGTGGCTTACGGTCAAAATCACTAGAAAGATTTACGATAACTTGGTTTTCTTGCACAGGCATGCAGCACCAGTTATAAAGCTCCTCGTAAAACAGTGAAGAGGGTTTGAATACAAAACCATCGTGAGCAAAAGCCATATAAATATAAGAATGAGAAAAAAAATTAAAATTGAGAAAGAAATTAGAAAACTTTTGAAGTTTGTCCCGCGTTTAGGGTCCGTTATGACCATACCGAAGATAGTTATTGGTTCATTTAGAGCTATGACGACATAGTTTTTAGTATCTAAAGTCAACTTTGATTCGCTATCTCGACTATCTTGTGTATGCAGTGCACTTGATCAGCGGAAGAAAAGTAATCGCCATGACAACTTGAGCAACAGTCGAAAGAGAAGGACATCAGAAGAAGAAGCGTTTTGAAATTCTTCAAATTTATCCTCAAAAATTATGGAATCAGAAGGCCTTCACGTGAATATTGACTACGTTGGAAGTAGTGGGGTTGTTCTCAGTACAGAACAGAAGGCAGCTTTGCAGTCTTCGTTGGTTATTTTGAAAAATAACTACAAGTTTGCTCGGGTCCTATTTTGGGGGAAGATTCTTGGAGTGAAAAATGATTACTTTATCGTTCAAGGAATTGGAAAAGACGATTTAAAAGAAAAGAAATCCCTATACAGGTAGGTTAACTGGGTTTTAAGAAAGGTTTAAGAGTGCTAATTTGATAAAAGGTTAATTTTTGGCGTACAAATTTGCGATGCAAGAGTGTAATTTGATTTGTTTTTGTTGTTGTTATTGTAGTCAAGATTGTATACACTGGGGTATGCTTCCAGTAGTAACAGCAAGAATGAGAAATGAGTGTTCGTTTGTTAAGGGTCGATTCACAGGGGATCCTTCCTATGAGTATGAACACACTGAAGCAGTTAAAATGAGCAATCAAGATGCAGAGAAAGCTGAAGGAGGCGAAGAAGAAAATACTGTAAGTAATACATTTGAGAAAAAAAGCATTTAAATATGAAAGCTTTAATAGAAGAAAAAATATTTTTGTCAATCATATCTATTTTTAAAATATTAACATTTCAAGTTTTGTTTTTTCTAGTAAAATATTCTAGCCCAAGTTAAATGTATGTAGATGTTTTGTGATTGCAGATATTGATAAAAGAGGAAGACAGACTAGCTACAGTAATAGAAGCAATTGACTATGATGTCAGGATTGTACCAAGGGGAGCTTACATCAGGACAGCAACAGGATCAGTACTGCAGAACCGTTGTTTTGAGGGTAAGTTGGTCATGAATCACAGTCATCATGTTTACTAGTAACCAATATGGTTTCACGTTCTCCCCCCCCCCACCACTTCAGTCCAGAATATGTTCATACCCTCCAGTGAGGATGGATGAAAGGGTAGCATTTCAGAGGAGCTCATTCATTTCATATCCCCCATGGGCAAAGGTTCAATGAATCCATTGACCCAACTGTCCCCACCCCTAAAAACTTTCTCTATAAAGGATTTGGGGACATAATTGTGCATAATAATCAATACATAAATGTAAGGATTCATAATTTATGATGATGGTTCTCTTGAGGATAAAGGTTTTAATAAGGATTTCTTTTGAACTTAGGACTCTCAGTTGCTGATGGTGGCAAGTTATCATCTTACTTTCATTTTCGAGATCCAGTAATTTTCATGAAGAAAAGTTTACTTCAAAAGGTAAGTATCCTTAGTCTTATATAGTTCTGAAAATATATATCCCTTCCTTTCCATATCCCTTAAAAGTGCTGAAATCTCCAATCACATGGAGAAAACAAGTGACATTGTCTTAATACTGAGAACTTCCCAGCTGAAGGAGTCCTCACACACTTGCTTCAAGTTAATTTTTTTTGTTTCTTGTTACAGGCAGAGCTTGACAAAGCAATTGACTTTGTGGACCCTATTGACACTGACGTTCCTAAAGGAGGTTTGTTACACTATGTCATCTTTCTTTCTTTGTCTCCAGTTCCTCATGTCCTTAGTTTTATTAATATCATATTTATGATATGCATTCATATCCATATCCATTATTTTCTAATGGGATTCCCTAGGGGAGGGAGTAAGGTATATCATCAATGCATTAACCATAATTTTTTTATGAAAAAAATGTATTGGTTATCAGATTTACCACTCCATGGTGGACAGAAAGACTAACAGGTTTTGTTAGCCACATGTTAAGGCTTTGACATATTGTATTAGAATTTAGATGTTGATTTTTGTGGAATGGGAAAAACTGGAGGAGGAGAAAAAACCTTGATGTGAGAGAACCATCAAATAATTCTACTCACATGATAGTTTACAAGAGATGAGCCCTCTCATTGCTACACCACCAGTGCTTCTTTTAAACAACCCTATCTTGTCCAGAGATGAGTAGTTTTCATAGTTCAAACTTTCTCTAGGGGAGGAAACAATGGAATGAAAAAATATTTCATTTCCCAAAGGAGAAAATTTTCATGGTTTTGCTTTAAAACAAAGTTGCCATAAAAAACCCAGTCTTAAGTCATTTCCATGTAAATCAGGAACCAGGTTGGGATTTGAAGACTCATATTCTTAACTATATCATACTTTCTTACAGGCTCGTGGAGCATCCAGTTTGAGAGAGGCAGTGGTCTGGTCACATTACGGAGCCTCCATTGGCTTGGCTTCTCATTTTACCATGTACCAGGAACTAGAAAATATGGCTCTGTATACGTTGGGACTGGCAACAAGAACCTGGATTTGCCTTTTATGTTGTAAAATATACTTTATCTTTTTAAATGTCTTAAGTCAGTTTTATACCCCTATCAATCCAAACTGAAGATAAATCACACCACCAGAACAAAATTTGCCATAGTCTAAATTAGCAAAAATGTGGTTAATTTATTTTAACATCAAGATTGTGATTATAATACTTTCTTCAACACTTCTGTACGTATGTATAAGTCTTGTTATGCTTTGAATGAAAAGTAAATTATAGCAATAAAATGGTGAAGATATCAGATCGAAGTATCTGATGTTATTATGTAGCATTTTTTGATGTTATTTTGCTCTCTTTAAAAAAAAAAAAAAAAAATGCATGAGAAGGTGCATACAAACTAAAAGAGGTGACTCAACCCCCTACCCTATCCTCCCTCATCACAGCCTCCCTCATCCAAACCCCCACCTCTTTGCGTCAATATGCACTCTATGTAGTACAATCATGTAGCATTTTTTTGGTTAATGGATAGAGGACTCCAGGCTTGTCATCTTAAATTACAACAGTCCAAGTTCTGGATATTTTGATTAATGGAAGCCAAAAGCTCAGATGCCAAAGAAACAAAGAAAAAGTAAATAGCACTCTTAAGAAGAATTCAAGTTTCCTGGGTTTTAGCCATTGATTGGTTCTTGGGTAACTGGACCACACTTTGGAAGAAGACCTTTTAACGAAAAAGAAAGAATAAATCACTCGAACCAATCACCACCATAGTTTCCCCTCTACGATCTCCCCTCCTTCCTAGCCTCATTGTTCTCCCACTTTGATACCACTGACTACTCCAGTGCATGGTTTAGCTTTCAATCCAGGAGTTGCTTGTTTTGTTATTCTAATTTCTGCTTTTGYTTACTGACCTCAGAAGTGAGGCAAAGCCCATATACACTAGACTTTAGGAGTCGTCAATACAGGGTAAGAATAAAGGAAAAAGATTGATTCTGTTTCTTTAGAAAATAATGATCATTGATAGAATGCCAGTCAAGAAATACCAACTTACCCAGTCTTCTAGATATTTTAATAGCCTTTTCAAGTTTGATTTGCTGTTTTCCACAGACACCTGTATGGAAATATTATTAAAGACAATTTAAAAAATTCCCTGTGTATAACATTTAAGGCTACACTGATTCAAGTTCCGGTTTTTAAAGACAGCATTTGGTTGTCCTGGCAACAAGCTACTGAATGAGTAGAGTAGTATGTTTTAATATTTCTGTTATAATGACAACCTTTACATGTCCAGGATTTTGTGAAACAAGAATATTCAGAACATTATTTTTTGATCTCACTCTTGATGTATTACCTGTAACTCTTCTACTTAGTAAATTTCCTTCTGGAGACAGAAACTGAGATAGAAAAAGTACATCCTGCAAACAAGATGAAAGATACTGTTTCTATAACAACTATATGTTCTGTGCCTGGGGGAGCACTCCCCTATATTTGCTATATGGGTATGTGCTGCCCTATAGGGTATGGTTTTTCAGCTTCTGGGTCTGGGGTAGGGTATCATTTTTTGACATTTTTTCCGGGATAGGGTATCATTTTTGTCTGGGATAGGGTTAATATTTGGTCGTTTTTGTCTGTTGGCGAATAGGCTACGCTTCCTACCAGCACAAAAATAATAAAAACATTTATCAAATCATGATGACAAGAGAAAACTAAAATCAAACTTATGAATGAAGATTAGTTTATTTAATTTATTTGGATCATCACCTATGTACTTTTTATAGTATAAGGTGCCAAATAAAAAATTATCGTATTGTATAGTAGTTTAAAATTGGAGAGTCTAATATACCGTAAATCCTCTATTTAGCCCCCCCTCTCAAATAAGCTCCCCCTCTCTAATAAGCCCCCCTTTTTAAAGGAAGAAATTTGTTAAGCCCCCCTCTCTTTTTAGTCCCCCTCCCCTCCCCCTCCACAACTAAAGAATCACGTGTACTGATTAAAGGTGATTTATTTAAGTCTTGATACGGTAGTTCACTAACATAATAACAACAGTTTGTTCCTCAGTTTTTAAGAATTATTTAAGTCATCTTGTTAGTTGAAATTGCAGTGTAGCGGCTTTTCGACTGAATCAATAAGCCCCCCCTCTCAATTAAGCCCCCTCTCTCCAATAAGCCCCCCCTCTCAATTAAGCCCCCTCTCTCCAATAAGCCCCCCCTCAAACGTGCCTGAAATAAATAAGCCCCTCGGGGGCTAAATAGAGGATTTACAGTATACAACTGCAGTCAGTACAATGATGATGGTAATACCTTGTATGTAAATAAAATATTTGCACTACAGATTGGGCAGCCGACGTCAGCCTTCTGTAATGGCATATCCTTTGACAGCTTTGAAGCCTTTATACCTGAAAAATGTAAATGATTATAGAAACCTTGCAGCAACTCCATGAAGCTCAAGAGAGTAAAACTCTGTTGTTTCGCCTTCTTAACATTGAGCTGCACTGAGTAAGCTCAATAATGACAACAGTTATGACTATACTTAAGCAAACTACTTGGTCATCAACCAATCAGAACTCAATAATTATACATTTTTAAGAAAAATATTATCAGATTGTTTGTTTGTCTTTGGGGTGGGGGT